TTCGATGGTAAATTGGTACTGGTAGTTGGTAGGAAGTTGCCGTCCAGCTTGCTTTTAATCATTCCTTCGAGTTTTATGGAAAAAGTATCAATCTGTTAATTTTTACTTATATTTTTACCGCTGGTCACTGACTGAAAACGATGCTACCTATGAAGCTGGTCACTGACATGTATTTTGCTTTTGAACCTAGATATCGCTGTCCACTTCCCTTCTTATGCTAGCTTCTCCCTCCACTCACATTGTTTTTTGCTTTTTTTTTTTCAAAAAAAAAAAACAGACTAGCCTCTCCTTACAAAAATAACTGACATGGTCCTACGCTGACGGCTAGCATCAGTGCTAATCCAAATAAGCTAACGGCCATTGCTCGATCCTTCACTGTGCTTATTTTTGCTACATAGCCACGCATTACGCTTGTGGTACCTGCAAGGAATACAGAATTCAAAACGCCAGAAACAACTTTGTGAGTAATAGGCCTCGCTCAAAAACTGTTCGAAAACAAAAATTACGCCGAAATTTGAAAGCAAACATCAAATTTTTGATTGCTTCAGGTAATGGTGATAGGAGTCAAACCTAGGAAAGAAGAAGTTTCGTTTCCAGCACAGTGTTAATTTGATTAGAATATTATTAACGAAGCGGTAAAATGAAATGAAAGAAACACGTTTTCAGAAATTTATGCCAGACAGGATTAGTTTGGTCTCATACGTTTTAAATTACGATCCAAAGTAAAGGATTCGTTTGAACCTAATCTAGTTACTAAATATGGTTAGCACAAGTTGCTGAAGAAGCATAAGGATGTTATTTTTGAAAAATAAGCGTTTTTGATTTGAAAAAAAAACGCTATTTTTTAAAAGTGCTTTTCCCGGGCCTAATTTGCGACACTGACTAGCTAGCGCTTAGCTTAGTGAAGCTAGTGCTTAGTGAAGTTATCTGGATGTGATCCTCCTAAATGCCAAGCAAATCAAGATTCCCCGCACAATCGGTGTGGATATCTTGTTACTGGGATGCCCGCATATGTTGGGCGACATATCTCAAAAACTCTATGAGAGGTTCAAGATTACAAAAAATTACAGCTTCATAAAAAAAGGTTTGACGGGATAAAACGGGATGAAAGTTATATTATGAACAATTTTTTAGGTTTGGTGTTACTGTCGAAATCTCAGGTGAATTGTGGTACTCACTCATCGAAATGCCGAAAATTGCATAGCATGTGAGCATCACATAACGTCGTCCGGTTGGAAATAATTCCAAGCATATATACAGCAAACAGCCAACCATTGCAATAAGACGACCAACAATTAATGGCAGTCTGGAAGAGAAATCTGGTCGCTTATTATTACTTATTCGTCTCTAATAGTGATACTTATCAACTTTCTTTAACCTTGGAGGAAAACAGAAATTAACACAGCAACTTTACAGTACTTTGTTTGACCAGTGGCTGAGCTCCAGTAGCCTATCAGAGGAGCGAAAACAGCATGTCCCAGTGAAGATATCGAACCAACGTAGCCGAAAAATGTTGAGGTAGCCATCGGATCAATCTAAAACGTTGTTTGCTGAATCAACAAAACTTCATAAAATGTCTTTGAAACTGGATTATTGAGTTTATTTCATAAATTCCAAGATCAAGATTTCATATTTCAGTTAGAAACTCAAGACCGATGGACTTGACACAGCT